AATAAATAAATAAATTTTACTGATACACATTTACAGTGCACAACAATTACATTTCTGGTGGGAAGTTTTTACATGTTCATAACAGATCGTAATTCCTTTTCTGTCTCCTCTCCTCCCTCCCCCTCCTCCAATTTCTTGGTTCCCTTCCCTTTTCTGCCTCCCTGCTTCCTATTATTTTTTATTTTGCTCTTTATTTATAATTTGGACTTTTCATGTAAGAGAAACCATGTGACATGTAAGCTCGTGTGCCTAATTTATCTCACTTAATATTATGGTCTCAAGGTGCATTCATTTTCCTACAGATGACTCTGGTTTACCTTTCTTCATGGCAGAGTAGTGCTCCACTGCATGTAATTTTCATTACTCATCTGCTAATCGGCATACAGGCTGCTTCCAAGATTTGGCTACTGTGAATTGTGCTTCTATAAACATGGATTTGCATGTTTCACTGTAATATGTCTTCGGACCCTTTGCAGGAAGAAATCTAGTAGGGGAAGAGCTGGGTTGAATGAAATTTCAATTTCTGCTTTTTGAATACCGAATACTGATTTCCATAGTAGTTGCACCGGTTTACACTCCCTCCTGCAATGCAGAAGGGTGGGTCCCTTTCCCCCTATGGCCTCTTGAGCATTTGTTACCATTTGATTCTTGATCATAGCCATTCTTTCTGGAGTAAGGTGGAATCTCGGTGTTTTAATTTGCATTTTTCTAATGGTCAGAGATATTGAACTTTTTTGTGTAATATTTGGCTATTTTTATTTCCTCTAAGAAATATCTATTCATTTCTGTTGCCCATTTTTTATTTGGTCTTCGTTTGGGGTTAATTTTTTAAAAACTCTTTATATACTCTAGATATTAGTGCTCTGCCCCAGGACTGGATGGCAAAACGTTTTCTTGATGCTCCTGTGAAAGGTATCGGTTTGCTGATCTCTCTCTCAGTGAGTTCATTACTGGTGTACAGGACTGCCACTGATTTTCGTGTTGACTTTGTATCCTACTATGTTACTGAATTTGGTTATTAATTCTAAAAGCCTTTTAATGGGTCTTGTATGCACATAGAGAATCATGCCATGGTAATTTGATTTCTTCCTTCCCTATACATATACAAATCCCTTTTGTTTAATTCTTTTGCCTGACTGCTCTGGTAAATGTTTTGGCTGCTACGTTGAACATGAGTAGACGAGTGGCCTTGTCTTTTTCCTGACTTTAGAGGGGAAGCTTTCAGCTCCTCCCCATTTAATCTGATGCTGACCATTAATCTGTCACAAATAGCTTTCATCGTGTTGAGAGAAGGTCCTTATACCTATTTTCTCAGGATTGTTATCATGAGTAGATGCTGGATTTTATCAAAGGTTTTTCTGTGTCTATGGAGATATATTTTTTCCTTGATTCTGTTTGTGTGGTGTGGTATATTATTGACTTGTGTATATTGAATCAACCCTGCACCCCTGGGATGCTCTTTTGATGACTTACTTCATTCATTCTATTTGCCAGTATCTTGTTGAGGATTTATTTGTCTATATTCATTAATTTTGATTGGATCCTTGTCTGATTTTGGAATCAAGGTAATTCTAACTTCCAGAAAGGTCTCTTTTCTTTTAAATTTCACCAAAGAGTTTAATATTTGCATTAGGTCTTCCTTATGCAAATTACTGTAGAAATCAGGAGTGAATCCTTATTATTTTTGTTTTTAATTTAATTTATTGACTTATTTTGTTTGTTTGTTTCTGAGATAGAGTCTCACTATGCAGTCTAGGCTGGACTTGAACTCGCTGTGTAGCCCCATCCGGACTCAAAGGCATGGTGATCCTCCTGTCTCAGTCTCCCGAGCACCAGGATTACAGGTGTGCACCACCACGCCCATCCGGGCTTCCCATAATTGGTGGGGTTTTTTTTCAATATTGCTTCAATTTCAGTGCCTGTTGTTAGACTATTCGGAGTTTTCACATCTTCTTGGTTCACTTTTGGCAATTTATATGTATATAGGCGTCTATCTGCTTCTTCTAGTCTGTCTAATTTATTGTAGTACAGGCTCTCACAGTAGTTACTAATAATTTTCTCGATTTTGACAGAGTCTGCTGTGATATTGCCTCTTTATTTTCTAACTGTGTTGATTTGGGTCTTTCTTTTTGGTTTATCTATTTTACTTATTCTTTCAAAGAATCAGTTCCTCAATGATTGGTTGTTTTGTCTCAATTTCATTCATTTCTGCTCTGGTCTTTATAATTTTCTTTCTTGCACTAACTTTGGATTCACGTTGTTCTTGTTTTTTGGACCTTGAGGTGCATCTCGACATATCTGGACTTGTTCTGTTCTTCTGATGCAGACATTCACAGCTACAAACTTCTCTCTCAGGAGTGTTTTCATTGTGTGCCATAAATTTCATTATGTGCCGCTGTACTGGAATATTGTTGAATTCTAGGAGCTATCTACTTTCTTCTGCGACCCACTGATTATTCAGGAGACTTTTGTTTACTTTCTATGCATTTGCATAATTTCTGTGGTGTCTTTCGTCTTTAACTTCCAGTTTCATTGCACTATGAGCTGATAACATACATGGCACAGCTTTGATTCTTTGGTACTTACTTAAAGGATGCTGTATAGGGTAGTATGTAGTCATTTTTAGAGATAGTTGCATGAGCTGTTGTTAGGTGAATCATAGTCGTGTTGATTTTTCATCCATTAGATCTATTTGGGACAGTGGGGTACTACATGGCCTCACTGATGTTTACCTGATCTTTTATGTCCTGTGGTGTTTGCTTTATGCAGTTGGGCATATTTGGGGCCTATAGGTTTAGAATTGTGATCTGTTCCTATTTAGTGGTTCATTTAACCAATGTGTAGTGGCCCTCTTTGCCTCTTCTGATCAGAGACACAACAGAAAAGGGACATGTATAGGAAACAGTGAAGTCAACTTATAAGTGGTTCATGTTTTTCTCTAACACTTTTTAAGGTTCTTTGTTCTGGACTCCAAAGAATTTTGACTATGATGTGTCTTGGGAAAGCTCTTTTCTGATATTGGCTATTTGGGATTCCACAAATTGCATTTATATGTATATTAAATTATTTCCTTATAGCTGGAAAGTTCTCTGCTATTACACCTGTAAACAGATTTTTTATGCCCCTCTGCTGTCTTCTGATTTTTCACAAATTCCCGTAAGTCTTCATCTTTACATTACCTTTCAGCTATTGGGTCCATTTTACATCCTTTTGTTGCTTTCAAAATATCTCTGAAATGGGTCACTGATCTCAGCCCTATCTTCTATTCTGACTCCCTGAACTCACATCAGTCACTTTTAAAATTGAATTAATTAATTAATTTGCTTGAGACTCTGAATTCCCATTGGTCTCATTTAAATTTTATTTATTGGCCATTCTCAGACTGCAGGGAAAGAGAACTAGAGGTCCCCAAGAAGGGAACCCTTTCTGCAAATGAGCACCGTGGCAGGCTGCGGGAGAGAGAGCCAGATGCCAGCCTCTTCTGGATGTGGGCTGGGAAACAAGAAGAGACTCCTCCGTCCCACTGTGCTGAGTGACCGGCTGATCCGCAGAAACACAGGCTATGATGATGCCCTTTGAGGTAAAATACAACTTAGTGGTTGTAGTGTTTAGTGTTTCACTAACTTTGTGGGTCTAAAGCTGGTGGTCTGATTATCTATTCAGAGCATAACAATATGCAGCGTAGCATCTATGGGGCAACTCCTTCTGAAAATGGTGGCCACTGTGTATTCCCTATTATCTTGTTTTGAAGTCTTGTATCATTTTTATTGTTCTGCTGGGTTGGGTTTTATTCTGTTTTGTTTTGTTTGATCATATATAATATGATGCATTGGCATGGATTTTTGATTCCTATTGTTAAGGACTCAAAGTCCTGTGTCACTTACACTGGTTTGTTTAATCAGCTTTATTCTGTTTTATTTTGCTTGGTTTTATTCTCTTTAAAATACAAAATACATTTTATTTATTTATCTATTTTTTACGTATTTATTTATGTGAGACAGGGTCTTGCTATGTAGCGTAGGATGGCCTTGACCTTACTATGTAGCCCAGGCTGGCCTTGAACTCGTGGGAATGAATCCTCCTGCCTCAGCTTCCCCAGTGCTTTGCCATGTGCACCACCACATCTAGCACACTCGTCACTTCTATGCTCATACGTTCAATAGTTCTTAATTTCTTTGATTTAGGATTCCATGGAATCAAAATCTTTGCTAAATTAGTCATTCATGTTTTGTATTATTTTGCTTTAGCTCATCTAGCTTTTGGTGCCCTATAAACTTGTTGACTGGCTTTTGTTTTCTTTTGTTTGCGACACGGTCTCACTATGTACTTCAGCCTGGCCTTGAACTCAGTAGCTACCTCAGGCTGGCCTCAGACTTGTGGCAATCCTCCTGCCGCAGCCTCCCAAGCTGCTGGGATCACAGCCAGGTGCCACCGTGCCAGCTGTTTTACTCATGAAGTCCACTATCTGTTTAGTTATGTCTCCTTTGAGCTTGCCAAGCAAATTATTGACCTATTTTTTAATCTCATCTTTTATCACTTTGACTAATTCAGCTGTGTGGCTTTTTATTTCCTCCTTCTCAATGCCCTAAAAATCAGGTTTGGGAGTCAGGAGTTTTTCAGGCATTCTGGTGCCTCCTTTTTTCCTGTTCCTTTTGTTACTGATGTGCTCATGTGTGCAGGTGCTTTCAATGGGAAGACTCTGTACTCAGTAGAAGGATTTTTTACTTAGTGCGTGCTTTTCAGCGATACACTTTGGGTCTGGCTAACGACAAGCCTTTGCCTCTGTCCCAAAACTCAGTCACTTCCATTAAATTGGGGAGGGAACGCTGCAGTGTAATCATCCCAGAGCCCAGTTCTCTGGGAATGGATCACAGTATTGCTAATGATGTGCAGACAATCTGGATATTTTAAAAACCTATTATAGCAACAACTGTGCCTCCCTGGTAATAACAAATCACCAACAAGACAGCATCGGACTGGATATTGAGATAGCACAAAAATCAATAACGCATCACCTTTAATGATAGACAAGAGATCTGTAATTACAGTTTAGACACTAAGATAAACTGGAATCGACACTCAAAGCAATAAATTGACTTCCGCTAGTGATATAAAATAGCTCAACCGTAATAGACTGGATAACTGAGATTAGATTTACAAAGCTTCACAGTTATAATAGTAAAGATGGGGTGCAGAAAGGGAGGATGAAGGAGGAAAAACGTGAAAAATTAGGCAATGGAAGATGAAAACGAAGAGATAAAAGTGAGATAAAGGATTCTATTAAGGAATAAAAGGGACTTAGAATTAGATAAAGGTCACAGAAAAAGAGCAAATAAGAAAAAGAAGAAAAACAGGCATAAAAATGAAAGAGAGCTGGAAATGTAACTGAGTGGCGGAGCATTTGCCTAGCATACGTGAGGTCCTGGCTTCAATTCCTAACTGCCCCCAAAATAAATAATAAATGCAAAAAAGGATAAAAATTTGAACGCCATGAAACCAATGAAGAAGAAAGAGGAAAAATGATAGAAACAAAGGAATGAGTCAATACTTTTCTCTGAGCTGGGGATTTAGCTCAGCAGCATAAATGCCTGCCTTGCAAGCATGTGGTTGTGAGTTTGATCCCCGCTACAAAAAAAAGATGAAAAACATACTTTTCTCTGTATTTTTGAATGAGTGGTTTGTTTTCAGGATCTGCAGTTTTGGAGTCCAGCAAGCTGTGATTTTCTCTGCCTAGAGTTACGGCCTGTGATCTGTGGGGTGACACACCCTGTCCAAAGGCCCCTCTGTCCATTCGCCACAGCCTCTGGCAACTGTCACAGCAGAAGCATGTCTGTCTTCAGGTCGGTAGATGGGAAAAGCAATCAGACTCCTGACCTGTGAATGGTGCCCGACCTACACTCTCTGGCAGTATCACAGGTGAGGTGCTGGTTTTTTCCACCTCTGCCTGCCATGTAGAAAGAGTCAATCTTGGAGTAAAACTCCGCATGCTTTTGTAGCTTACAATAGCCGTGCGCGAAAATTTCTTGGGGCTGCTGTTATTGGGCTGCTCTGCTGTTTCTCCAGGAGCTCCCAACCTCGGGGCCTTACCCTGCATCTACAGAGACCAGTTCCCCTCCCTAGGAGCCAGAGTGAGCTTCCAGACTGGTTTTTTTCTTTTCTTTGCCTGTGCTTCAATTCTCCAGCTTCTCTGTAGTTCCTAATTTTCCTGTGAGTTCCCTTCCAACTTTCAGTTGCCTACTTTTTTTCTCTACATCAAGTTGTTATTTTCCAGATGTCCAAATTTCAGGTCCTGGAAAAGCTGTATTTTGCTGTTGATCACTACTCTGCCATTTTGGCCTCCCCTTATTTTGGTACACAGAAATTAAATACAAAAATATTTATAACATGCACATTTATGGTTATATAATATGTAAAAAATATAATTCAGAACATAGATAACGTGAGTAGATATTTAGCAGTAAAGGGGTAGAGTTTTGTTTTGTTTTGTACTGTTTTGGAGATAGGGTCTCACTGTATAGTCCAGGCTGGACTTGAATTCTTGATCTTCCTGTCTCAGTCCTCCACTTGGTATGAGTTTTTATATGGAGTCCAAAGTGTTATTGATTACAAATTTAATGTTATAGCCAGGCATGGTGGCACATGCCTATAATTCTAGCACTCAGGAGGCTGAGGCAGGAGAACTGTTATGAGTTTGAGGCCACCCTGGGCTAAATAGTGAGTTCAATGCCATTCTCAACTACATAGTGATTCCCTGGTTCAAAAAACCAAAAATAAAATAAAATAAAATTTAATATTGTAACCTCAAGACATTTTCTGTTTCTATTGGAAACCAAAAGAAAAACTATATAGAATGTACCAAAAAGAAATAAGAAGGGAATCGAGGTATTTTACTATAAATAAAGAACAAAACCCAAAGTAAGGCAGTAAGAGGAAAGGATGAACTAAAAAAGCTACAAGACATATAGAAAGCAGTGAACTGGCAATGCCAAGCCTTTTTCTAATCAGTAATTAATTAAGTACAAATGAATTAAACTTCAAAATCAAAAGACATACATTGGCTGAGGAGACCACAGCAGAAGGGTCTTGTCAGGGGCAGTGGCAGAGCCAGCTGCACCTCAGGCTGGGTCCCAAGCACGGAGAGAACCAGCAAAGGCCACAGCAGTGGGTCCCATCTTTAGGGGAGGAGGAAAGGAAGATCCAGTCGAAGCACAATTCCTAAAATAAGAGATACAGTACATTATTTAGAGATGTTACCATCACCTACAAAACAGAGAAGATGGAACAAACCATGGGCTCCACATGAGCTCCTAAAGCTCTCTATTGCTCGCCTGTGGCTAAAAGTATGATGACCCTGCTGATCACCTCTCCGGGACCAGGAAGACCAGCACAAGAGCAGGATTCCAGACAAATAAAGACTGCAACCCAAGGAGGGTAGGCCTGCAGCACCTCCGAAGAAACTGTCACCAAGACGAGAGCAGACACAAGGGAAACACAGCAGTGGTCAAAATCCAGCTCTCTAGCAAGAAATAAAGGCAAGGTTAGCTGACGGAAAGGACTACAAAAAACTGCTGAAATTGTAAGTTTGTCCCGAGTCAGCATAAGCCTGCTCAGCAGAGCTCACTGAAGCATCCAGGCCCTGAGATGTTTACACTGAAAACATTCGCACACCAAGGGCGGTACAGAGGCGGGTGTGTGATGTTGTCCAGAACAACAGTAACTAACATGGTTGCTGATCATAGTAAGCAAACTTTGTCTTTCTCCACCAGCCTGATGTTATGGAAATAAATGTTAACCCAGGTGACCATCACCCATAGACACAGCTGGACAACCAATCTGCAAACTTGAAGTTCACTTCACCTGCCTTCAGGAGGACTGAGACAGGAGGATCAAGAATTCAAGTCCAGCCTGGACTATGCAGTGAGACCCTATCTCCAAAATATTGGGTCTTTGGCTTGGTATAAAAACAGGTGACTATAGAAACCAGGTGTGGTGATGCACACCTGTAATCCCAGCATAGGGAGGCTGAGGCAGGAGGATTGTTGCCAAATTTGAGACCAACCTGGACTATTAAGTGAGCTCAAGGTCAGCCTGAACAGCCTGAACTGCATAGTGAGATGCTGTGTCAAAACAAACAAACAAACAAACAAACAAACAGGTGGCTGTAGTGGGTGTGGTGGCTCACACCTGTAACATCAGCACTCAGGAGGCTGAGGCAGGAGGACTGCTGTGAAGTGGATTCAAGGCCAGGCTGAAGTACGTAGTGAGACCCTGTCTCAAAAACCAAACCAAACCAAACCAAATGAAACACAGCAAAATAAAGCAAAACAAAAAACCAGGTGAACATAACTAAGCTCTTCTTGGGTCTGGGGTGACTGCATGTACCACTGGGAGGCACTTGGGTCCTCCTAAAAAAAAGGTTGTGCACATGTTCCTGAAAATAGTCACACTGTGACCATCATCCCTTCCAAACCCAGATTCCTGCTGTGTTTGGACATAGGATTAGTTCTGCTCCCAACTGGTTTCAACGTCTTCCTGCTACCTGGAAAAGCATTCTATTCAGTTTGCTTGCCTGGTAACAGGGCTCCTCACAGCTGGCTCTTTGTACTACTGGTGCAGAGCTTGACTGCATTTTACATTTTGGGACTGCGGGACAGGGTGGATAAAACTGGAAGGTGTCGTGGCAGGTAGCACATGCTTCTGAAGTGCTCACTGTACGTCCCACAACTCTTCCCAAGTCAAGGGGACACTGTAGGTAGGCAGGGACCACAGTGTCCCGACAAGTATTTGCTAATGGACACTGGGACTGGACAAACTCAGGTGTCTACCGAAGCTGCCTCCCTGCCCACACGCTACCTCAGCTTCTCCTCGGAATGCTGACCACGTAACACTGCAAAGCAGGTAATGACGTGGCCGGTGTGCAGTGTGATCTGTAAACCCCGCCCTGTGTGCTGGGTATAGAGGAGTCTTGCAGCCCTGCTGGCTTCCGCTGGACACTGGGAACACCTGGCCAGTCAGGTCCAACCAGGGTGCAGACTCCTGAGTGGTGCTGTCACTGGACACAACCCCTGCGGCTGCTGCTCCGCAGAGCTGGTGTTGAGTCCACACCCCATGTGGAGAGCTGTGGACACCTCTGTGCTGCTTCTGGACCCTTCCTCATTCATAAGCATGGTTCACCTGGCTTTCTATTACGACCTTAATAAGCCTTTTCTCAATCAAAAGAACCAGAGAGCTTAAAATAAAGAGTATAAAACATGATCCATGAAAATTGTAACCAAAGAAAATGGCAATTGATAATATCAGGCAAAGGCAGATTTTAAGCCAAACAATGTACAAGAAACAGGGCAGTCTATTAAGTCAGATGAGAGTCTGGTCATAGGAAAATGTAGCTTCCAATAGGCCAAAGATAAATCATTAAAAAAAAAATATTTTGAGTAGATGAAAATGTAACATGCCAAAATTCATGGGAAGCAGCATGAAGGGTACAAAGAGAGAAGTTTACAGTTGTAAGTGCTACTTTTTAAAAAAGAAGAGAGCCCTAGCAACAGAAGGAGGAAGAGGAAGAAAAAGAAGGAGGAGGAGGAAAAAGGCATCTCGCATCAGCAAAACCAAATTTACATCTAATGGAAAGAGAAAAAGAACTAAACCCAAAATCATAGGAAGAAAGAAATAATAAAGTTTCTACTGTAGCACAGATAATGAATACCGTCACTAGGAAAACAATAGAAAAAAGTCAACAAAACTGAGTTTTCCCCCAAGATCAAAAGATTGACTATCACTTAGCTAGATAAACTAAGGAAAAAGAAAAAGGGGACTCCTATAACTAAAATCAGAAAAGGGAGAATTTCACAATTGATACCATAGAAATAAAAATGATCTAAACAACTGGTATAAACAATTATCACCAACAAATAGGATAAATAATATTGAAGGGGGGTAAGGATATAGTTCAGCAGCACAGCGTCTGCCTGGCCAGCACGAGGTCCTGAATTCAAATCCTGGTGAGAGAGAGAGAGAGAGAGAGAGAGAGAGAGAGAGAGAGAGAGAGAGAGAGAGACAGACAGACAGAGAGAGAGAGACAGAGAGAGAGAGAGAGAGAAATAGGTACATTCCTGGAGCCATACAGCTCTTCACATGCTACAGTTCATGAGATGCCGAATTTTGTGACTTTTATATCCTTCTGTGCTGAACTTTAAAAAAAATTCCTACAACATTTTGAGCTTTGTCCTACCTCACGGTTAAGTAACTCTGAAATCATTTCATCTTTTCAAGATTTCCTTTTAAACTTTGTCAGTTGAGGCCAAAGCAGTTGGTAGCCAGTGCTAATTTGGTCCCTATAAATGGCAATGTTCTTCTAAGAACTTACTACGATTTACACCTGGCTGTACCCCAAAGCCTTATTGCTCATAGCGGGGCTTTGAGGAAGTGATGGGTCATGATACTCAGTGAGTTTACAGCTCACTGTGATTTGGGAAGCGAAGCCTGGTTGGCGGAGGAGGGCCACTGGGGGCATGATTTAAAGAATTTATCTCCTTCCCTGCCTCTCTTGATCCCTTTCTTGCCCTGCCTGCCATGCCATGGCTGCTTCTCTTCTGCCATACTGCCCTGTCTTGCAGCCAGACCACAATAGGCTGAAACTTCTCAAAACCATGAGCATAACAAAGTTTTCCTCCTTAAGAGCTGTGGGCTGGGTATGGTGTCCCAGTAACCCGAGAGCAACTGAGACTCCACGTCTCATAGTGTAGCATCCTGTTCTCTGGGAGTGGGAACACGAATTATCCCTGACCAAGTGTGACCTCCGTGGGTTACTCCACTTGGTCCCTCCTGGTGCTACTTTCTCTGGCCTCAGTGGACTTCCTCACCAGGATATCTGAGCAGCACACATCAGGAGCCCTGAGGCGACCCCTCCGCAGTCTGTGAAGCTGCCTTTGGGGCAGGTCTTTCCTCTCTGGGGTTGAAAGTTCTAGCCACCTTCACCTTAATTCTGTCATTTCCAGCCCAGGGGCCCAGCACCCTTGGGCACAAACTGAGGCTGGGGCAGGGCTCATCTCCTGTGCTCGCCCACTCTCAGGGAGCTCGTCCTAAACTTCCTGTTGTCCAGCGTGTAGAAACCCGTGTTGCATATGTGTTGTTCGGTTTTTGGTTAATGTGGGAGGGCAAATCCAGTTCCTGCTGCTCTGTGATGGCCGGAAGCAGAAACCACTTAATGCTTTTGATCCTCCTCAGTGTGACCTTACTCAGAGGCTGGCAGGTCTATAATTAGAGCGTGAACTGGGGCAATTACCCATCACACATCGGTGACTTTGTTTTGTTTTGTTTTTGGTGTGCAGGACTGAACCCAGGACTGTACATGGTGAGCATGCGCTCTCCCATTGCATTACCAGCCAGCACAAACCCAAATCTTTTTTAAAATAATATTACATTGCTGGTGTGGTGGTACACGCCTACAATCCCAGCACTCAGGAGACTGAGGCAGGAGGTTTGCCATGAGTTTGAGGGCAGCGTGAGCTACACAGTGAGTTCATGGGCAGCCTCAACTACCTACATATTGATCCTGTCTCAAAAATACAAACAAAAAAAGAAGGATGAAGAGAAAGAAAGGAAGCCAGGGATGATTTGTGTTCCCACCAATCAGATTAACAGAATGCCACAACTGAGGAGAAGGAGAAAGATGAAACAAGTGAGGGAGAGGAGGAGGAAAAAGAGGAGGAGGAGAGGAGGAATCCTCACGGCACTAAATCTGCTGGCAGACTGATCTTGGGACTTCTGGGTCTCCCAACTGTGAGAATTAATTTCTGTTGTTTATAAGATACTCAGGTACTTGTGCCTCCATGCTGAGGATTGAACCCAGGGCCTTTGCAGTGAGCAACATATCCAGACCTTTTACAAATATTCTTATTTTGAGACAGAGTCTTGAGAAGTTGCCCAGGCAGGGTTTGAACTTGTGGTACGCCTGCCTTGGCCTAACAGAGTGCTGGGATTACAAACGTGGCCTACAGCACCTATGATTTTTTTTTATTTTTTAAATAGCAGCCTGAACAGGCCCAGGAAAACAAAACCAAAAACCCTGTGTGTCTGTGTGTGTGTGTGTGTGTGTGTGTGTGTGTGCGCGCGCGTGCGCGCGGCGTTACTGGGGATCGAAGCCAGGCCTCCACACATACTAGGCAAACACACTGAGCTAAGCTACTTGTGTGTTTCTTTGGTAGTAGGCAGCAGATTTAGGGCCTGCACAGGGGGTTACACCCCCAACTCTTTTTATTTTGAGATAGGGCCTCACTACATTACTGAATTAGCCTCAGCCTTCCAAGTAGCTGGAATTGCTGGTTTGCACCTCCAAATTTGTCCCCCATAATACAGATAGCCTTTACAAAGCCGAGGCCTGTTATATTGTTTATTTTCAAACTTAATCGTGATCGGACTATTAAGTTTCGCGACAGTTTAGGAAAGAGAAACACCTCATTATTTTGGACTCACACTCATCCTGTCACTTGGAAGGCGATGCAATGTTCTAAATATGAACCGGCCTTGTTCTACGAACCAGCACCTTAAATTGCCAGGGACTCAAAGGCTCGGCTCCAGACCGCACAAGTCGGAAACACCTGCTGCTGCGTTTTTCCCCCTGTAAAGAGCAGCTCTGTCTTGCGCTGCCCCTCTGGTTTCAGGATCAGGGTACTCAGGAACCGGGCCAGTCGCTGCTGGGTCGCACGCTCAGCGGTGCCGTGTGCCCGCTCCCGCGTGGGGTGGGTGGGAACCGCTCGGCCGAGAACCCCACGCCTGTGTGAGCTCAACGAATACATTTTCCCCGGGAGGAAACCGCCCTCGTTTACCTCCGGAAGCTTCTGATCCACCGTCTGGTCGTCAACTGTGTCTTTCCACCAGATGGCAACAACCGGGAAGGTGCGGGGTGGCGGGGCGGGGCGTGGGGATGGGTCCGAGCTGGGGCGGGGGCACGCGTGCCACCGGGCCCTGCGCGAGGCCGGCGCGTGTCTTGCGTTCATCGGTGCCCACGCGAGGGGCAGAAAGGGTTGCACTGGGCGCTACTTTCTGGCTTTTGTTTTCGGAAGCACATGTTACAGAACAGCTGAGGAGAGGGGGCAGCTCATTGAGATTCATGTAGAATTAATCAGATTCAGTTCCCAAAAGGTATTTTATGTTCCGAACAGACGCTGGCAATTCGGAGTATTTTAGGGCAAACGAAGAGGGAAAAAGCCTGAGGAGCTGCTGGTGGAACACGTGGGCCTTCACTTCCCCTCCACCTGTACATCCACTCTGACTTTAGGTATGTAATGCAGATTCGGCCTGTGCCGTCTTGCACAAATAATTTTCAGTGTGCTGTGGGTCATCTTTACTGCATAGATAGATCTCTTACATGATAGGTTTTATGTACAAAGACTTTCTTCCATAAAATAGCCATCATTCTCTCTTGCTCTGGGTTCTATTTTCTAGGAACTATAAATTCCTCTGGGAGTGGCACAGGCCCGTAATCCTAGCACTTAGGGAGGCTGAGGCAGGAGGATCGCAAATTGAAGACCAGCCTGGGCAATTTAGCCGTGCAAGACTCTGTCTCAAAAGAAAAAATAGGGACGTAGATTAGTGGGAAAGTCCTGGATCCAATCCTCTGAACCAGAAAAAAAATTATCTGATAAAGGCCAAGATATTCCTATTGAAAACTAAACAGTATCAAATTTTATCACATTTCTTTTTTTGAAAAAATCATTTTTTAAATTGTTTTTTGTGCCAGAGTCTTTCGAGGCAACCCAAATCATAGCCATCCTCCTGCCTCAGCCTACCAAGCGCTGGGATTACAGGTGTGCACCCACATGCTCAGTTTAATGACTTTCTCTTTGAAGAATAGCAATAGGGCCACAATTAAAATTTTAAAAAGAAGTTCTAATTTGTCAGATAAAGTCTTGAATTTTAAATAGAGTTCTGAGTAAATTAAAGTATCTAAACAAGTTTGTTTATGAGAGCACATTGCTATAAAAGTCCTGAGAAAACTGTCAGAGCATCTCCTTATGCTTTGATGAGACTGATTACTTCACACAGGTAAAGATATACATAAAACAAAAAGATGAGAACAGTGACAAGAGGTAAAACAGACTTTGTTCTCTCCTTTAGAGAACAAATATGTTACATTTCCTCGCCTCTTCCTCTGTCTGAATAATTTTGTCTTCATTGTAAAATGATCAATATAAAAATACCGAAAGTTATGGAAAAGTAAAAGAGTTCCGATGTGAAGATGACTATTAATATTTCAGTGCAATCTCTTCCATGCTCTTTGATATAAAACTGGTTTTTTTCTCCACCTTTTATAGAACCTGTTCATTTTCATGATTGTTTCATGGTTTTTCATTAGCTGGTTTCTCACACTGCATGATAACATATGCATTCTCCTATGTGATTAGAAACACTTCACAAAATAGTTTTAGAGCTGGGAATGGTGGCGCCCACCTGTAATCCTAGCACTTGGGAGGCTGAGGCCAGAGGATTGCCATGAGTTCAGGGCCAGTCTGAATTGCATAGTGAAACCCTGTCCTAAACAAACAAGCAAACAAACAAGCAGAAAAGGTAATTTCTATACAATGTGTTGGTAGGCTGAGCCATGTTACACATATAAATACATTATTTTAATGTGTTTCTAGACATTCATTTAGTTCCTCCTTTTGCTGTTACAAACAGCACTGTGATGAACTTTTTAGACAAAATACCTTTCTTATTTAAACTTAGAATGGAACCCCAGGTATGAAATTATTAGCTCAAAAAGTACAAAGTATTTGTTTTAAATCTGCTTTGTGTCATTTTCAACTTCCTTTTTAGCAGGGCACAATCTACTTCTAAGACTCCCTGCTACGTGCAGGAAAGCAAGCCTTCTCTGGAAGCAGAAGCTGCAGTTGGGTCCCGGCTCTCATTAGTGTGTTAATTTGCATAGCTTTGATTACTAGCGCGATGGAACCTTTCCCACTATTTGTTAAACAACTAAGTTTCCTCCTTCGTGAATTTCCCCTTTGTCCTTTGTCTGTTCATCTCTCTGGGGTTTTTGTCATCCCTATTTACATAGAAGAAGGCACCAGCTTTGCCCAGAGAAAGGCCTTCTGTGTGCAGCTCGGTGGAGCGCGTCCCCTGCTGAGTTATGACAGACTCAGAATTCAGAGAGAATAGGCTAGGAAGGGGAAACCAGAAAAACAAGAAGGATAAAGGCCATATGTTTCTCTGCTGTGGGTGAAACAGAAGGTCATATTATTGCAGTAAAGTGGCTCTGTACCATAACCTAACTCGAACTTACTTCTTAACGCCGGTACTGTAGATGTTGGCCATTCTTCCAGTACTCCATGCATGTTGTGTAATACCAGGACGCTTCTTCCGGTAAGTCACCATGTGGAAGCCTGGATAGTTCCGCAGAAGGTTGCCATGCCAGGCTCAGCTTTTGAAATGATTTAATTAGATGTAGGCTGTCAGCCCTTATTACCTAGCTGCTTCCTGAAAGGTGAGCACATCTGTATGTAATCTTTCTCCTGGATACAATGACAGCGCGTACAGGGAGACACATAAACGCAGACTCCCTGGCTTTGGAGTGGGGTGGGTCGGCTGAAGGGTTCCCAGCTCACACCTACCTCCCCCTGCTCAGGCCAAGTGCAGGACCAGCAGATAGGACCCAAAGGCTGGGAAGGACTCTGCAACTACCTTTGTCCCTTTTCACCAGGTAAGTAATTTTCCCGTTTATCCATCAAAAAACAATACAAAAAGAGAAAAACAATTCTTCCTACCTAAGAGATAGTTTAAAGCTTATGTAATAGTGTTGGGGTCTACAGCTCAGTAGCAGACAGAGTACATGCTTAACATGGGTGAGGCCTTAGGTTCAATGTATAGCATCTTAAAAAAATTATAGCAGAAAGAAAAGACTTAAATAGTACTGCATACAGTAGATGATAATGATGATGATGATTATTGGATTTTTTTTTTTGAGGCAAGGTCTTGCTGTGTAGTTTGCAAGTACTTACTGTGTAGCCCAGCCTGGCCTGGAACTCAAAGCAATCCTCCTGCCTCAGCCTCTTGAGTGCTGGGCTTACAGACATGTGTTACTACAACCAGCTATTATTGGAGCTTTGAGACAAGGTCTTGCTATGTAGTTTGCGCTGGGTTTGAGCTCACTGTGTAATCTGGGCAGGCTTTGAACACCTGATGATCCTCCTGCTTCAGCCTCCAAAGTGCTTGGATTACAGTTGTGCACCACCACTCCCAGTTTACAGTAGATATCATTTAAAATAGAAGTCAAGAACTGAAACATGGCTTCCCTTGCCATGAGACCATAGAGAAAAATCAGTGACTACTAGGGTTGAATGGGACCTTAGAATTATCCCAGCCAGTAACCCTGTCTTTTGACCAAGGAGGACGCTAGGCCACGAGAGCTTATGCCCTGGATGACTTGCCCCCAGTTGGAACTGCCAGGTAATGACAGAGCTGTGAAGGTCATATGCAGGCCACAACCTCTCCAGGCTATGGGACAGCTCAGCAGCACAGAACCTGCCTGGTTTGTCTGGGGTTCTGGGTTTAATCCATTGCACTGCAAAAACTGTTTTCTTCCTGCTGCCTTCTTTCTCATATACAGTAGATAAAAAAGTTATCCAGCACTGTTAAATAAAAAATTCCATATTTCATTATCACCTTAATAGACGCTGTTTTCAGCAACTCTCACTCCTTTATCCCCTGGTCATAGTCAAACAACTACTACTTTAGGCTACAAAATATGTACAGAAAGTTTTGTGGTAACACAAGGTGAATTTATGGAAGCTTTAAAAACTACATGTCTGCAAGTTTGAGAAATAAGAGTCAAAGAGCAGACTGGCATGTAGCCAGAGGCTCTTTGGGGAGCCATTCTTGTGAAGCAGGAGTATCAGTCTCCATCAGCAGAGCACACTGCAAACACAGGACGAAGGTCGCTGAAATGAAGTGGAACCAGTTTGACAGAGTGTGCAATCTTGTTTCAACAGATTGATTAATATGAGAAAAAATAAAATTGTTAGCCATAAGGGAGACAAGGCTCTGGAATCTGGGTGATTTAAGAGAACCACATCGCCTGGGCAAATCTGCCCTTCTTTTCAGTTAACTATTTAAGTGCAGTGCGTGGGGCTCTGCAGAAATAGCTGGGCTACAAACCCCGGCTTCACCAGCAGCACATCAGAAGGTCTTGCTCAGAGGAGCTGGGGAAAGCAGGCAGTGAGCTGGCTTATTCATGTGCAGCTATGGGAAACTGTTGGTGGATACTTTCACACGGTCAAGAGTTCAAAAATATGGGCCTGGGGATTTAGCTCAGCGGATAAGCACCTGCCTCACAAGCAGGCAGTCGTGAGTTTGATCCCCGGTACTGATAAAAAGATTTTAAAAAAATGAAAAAAAAAAAGAGTTCAAAAATACAATTTTTATTATTTGTGATCCTGGGGATTGAATTCAGGGCCTTGACACTGAACCACATCGCCAGACCCTTTTTTATTTTGAGATAGGGTCTCACTAAGTAGGAAAATTGCCCAGGCTGGCTTGAACTTGGGATCTTCTTGCCTCAGCCTCCTAGAGTATTGGAGTTACAGGTATGATTCCTGACTCAAAAATGTAATTATTGAAAGGATTTTGCCTTAAATGGGATGCTGCAGTGGTGGGAGGCTGGGAGGTGGAACCAAGGGGCTCTATCTTGAGGTCACCTTCGTGCCCCTAGGCAATTTACCTGTGGCGTGAAATGAATTTCAATGGGCTACTTGTGCATCAGTAATGGCCCTTAGGCACCACCCCAAACCTAAGCTATATGTGTGCACCCGGTAGAGAGAAAAGCCAGACCTCAGTGGTGGTGGTGGGGGTTCTCTCTCCACATTCTTAAAATAAAGTCCACTTTTCATATTTCTATCTTTTTAGCCTTGCCAAAAATTCTATCAATTATAAATTGTGTTAGTGACAGAGCTGGAGACATGCAATCCCATCCTAGCATTCAGGAGGCTGAGGTAGGAGGATTGCCTCAAGTTCGAGGCCAGATTGGGCTACCTGGTGAGACTTGGTCTCAAAAGCTGAAAGTGAATGGGTGAATGAATGAGGTCTCAGTGGAGCTACATGCCCTGGCGGGAGGTGACACACAAGTGTGAAAATCAAGGGTGATGGTTTTTCTTTTTCTTCCCAGTTTCTCTATTACACAACTTCTGTTTTCTTGCATGTTATTTTCCCTGAACTTAAACAGGATTTAATATATACTTAGATATGCAAACAAATTTCTCTTTTCCTGCACAGGCACATTGAATAATATTTTTAAAAAGTGTTAAACTGAAAAATGGAGTGAAAGTTCTATGTAGCAAAAATTCTCTGGTGTTTTCTTAGAGAAGTGATATTATTTGTCTGTTTTAGTCTTTTCATTGAAATACATCTTCTGAACTTAGCACACTGGATACTCAGTAGGTGATTGAGTGGAAAGATGGTTCAGTTTGCTTTCTCAGATCTTACAGTGTTTGCAAAGCACAGGAACTTCACTGCAGCTCTAGATTTGAACATGTGAAAATCCTGACCATCCTGGTTTCTGTGATGGCCACCAGGGAATGGACCCTAGGATATCTAATGTTAGTCATTAATTGTGCTCTCCCACGGACCTTCAGACAAAAGCAGAAGACAAAACAAAGAACCATTCAAAGCCTCACTTTTCCCCTGTCTTTCCTGTCTCGAAGATAAAAGTGAAGAAAATGTTGTGATTTTATTTACAAGACAAACAGCCGGGTGTGGCGGTGCACACTTATAGCTCCAGCATTCTGGGTGGCTGAAGCAGGAGGAGCATGAGTTCAAGCCCAGCCGGGTTGATTTAGGGGCTCTGCAAGCCTTGCCTCAAAAAAAGGAAAAAGGCTGCAGATGCAGCTCAGAGCAAAGGCCCTGGACCCCACTCACACTGTGCACCCATGAAAAACGATAACAGTGAAACAAACAGTAGACACAAAGGAAAACTTTTCTCAAAATTGATGAATCTTATAGGATTACTTACCAGAGCCAGCCCTTAGCTCTTGTGGAAACTGTCAGGGTCACGCAGTGGCTGTGTTTCATGTGTCATCCGACGGTGCCAGTAGCCAGGCCGAGCGAGGTGTGTGCCCTGAGTCACAGGGCCAGGGCGCCCGCCTGCCCGCTGAGTCACCCTCCTCGCCTGCTGGGGTGCCTAGTGTTCCAAGGCACTAATGGAGGATTAAATTAAGGTTGCCATGGCAGTCACCTAATGCCGTCAGGATAATATCAACAAATGTCACACAATGCAGCCTGCAAGTTGATTTTTTTCCAATAATTTTAAAATTTCTTCAATAACTAAGCAAATTGATTTAAAGAATGGCAAAGTCCCTTTGTTTTTTTCTGTCCTCTTCTTTTTTGTTTTTTCCCCAGCCCTGGGAAATGAAAGCAGGGCCTCTGCGCTCAGCTAATCCCCAGGCCTTTTTTATTTTTATTTTTATTTTCAGACAGAATCTCGAGCTAAGTCATAAAATTCCCCAGGCTGGGCTCAGTTTAAGACCCTCCTGTCTTAGCCTCCCACATTCCCAGGATTACAGGTGTGTGCCACCACATCTGGCCTTTTTCCCCCCTCCTTAACTAGATGGGTTACTCTATTACAATACGACTTACCTGCTTACATAAAATTGATTCTTTCTAGTGAATAGTGATTGAGCTAGGACGTTGCTTATTATATTGCCAGAAATTGAATAATATCAAAGTTGGAAAAAAATGAAAAGTTTTAACAAGTTTTTTACTTTTAATATTAGAAGTGTAAGTTTGAGGAAACAGATCTGAGTACCTTAAGTTTCAGCCAGCGTCTTGTGGTAAAGATTGACTTTGTGGGTGCAGTGTTTGTGCCACCTACTTCCTGTACTTGCAGCTGATGCTGAGGCCTCTCCCCGTCCTCCCTGTGTCCTGGTGGCTACAGCCATCAGGGAGGGCAGAGGCAGTGTGACAGGCACCTAGCAAACCTCCTGTCATTTAAAAAGTCTCACTTTGGGGAGGTTGGCAGTATTTTTAGAAGGATTACCCTAAAGCCTCAATTAGATGAGTCATCAGAATGAACTTAAAAATCCAGTGACCTTAGGTCATTAAAGTGCCTTTGCCTAACAGGGTGTGGTGGCATACAGCTGCAAATTCCTGCAGAAAGGAAACCAGGCTAGGCAGCGCCTCTGGCTCTCCACCTGGTTCTGTGACGGAAGGGTAGGATCAGGACGCTGTAACTGCTAAGTCTCTGGACCTGGAGAACTTGAGTTGCCCATTCCTTTGATTTCCCTACTGGGGGAACTGGGAAGCCGTGCGCCACTGATTCAAGAAAGAATAGTCAACCACGATTACTTTGGTAGATGTGAACAAACTTTTCAACAGAACTCTTGGAATTGAATGAGGAGACCTCTAATGCTGTCTTTATGGGGAGACTTCTGAGGCTCTCAGTATCCTACTGAATCACGATTGCCACTGGGCAGAGAAACATTCCTCAGGAGCAGCCTCCCTGCTGACCAATGATCCTAGAAAGAGATAACAGCCATTTGAGCCTCAAATTGCAAATGGACTTTCCGTTTAAAAATGGGGTGTGGGGGACACCTCAACTGTGCCTACATGTCACCGTCAAAAGGCCTGCTTTTCACTAAGCATTCAGGCCATTTCAAAAAAACTAATCTACAAATGCTGTTTACAATTAAATTCTGACAAGGGTACTACACCATTTCCCTCCAAACAAAACTATGGGTGCTTTCAGGGGATACTCCCCCTACTTAAAATCAATCAATGAGGGGAATTAGGTATTAACATTAGGAATGCACTAATCAGAGCTTTGGCTGATGGGGAGCTACTCTGTCTGCCCTGAGTCACAGGGGTCCTTAAATCTCTCACAATTTCAGTGTACACTCTCTGGAGCTCTGAACTGATCCAAACTGTGATAGTTCCCAGATCTCTACTCACCTCTTTCCAATTAGGCCCTTTCGTGGAAAGTGTCGGTTTCTTCCTCTGTCAGTCTCCATACATCCTTTGTTGAATTTTCTGGAAGCATATCAGGCCTATATCATTTTTCTCCCCAAAAGGTGAGAATGATGCTAGAGTTAATTCTACTGGAAGACTGACTTACAGGATTAGCCCCTACCCAGGGACACCTCCACCCTGCCAACCTCAGTAACCCATGAATCCTGTCCTCCAGGAAACGCCTGAGAACCCCTACGCGTAGCCCAACACTGATGTTGGCCTTTTTCATTCAGCATCTCTGGTTAAAATTCATAAATCATAATAGTTCTTTCTCCAGGAACAAGCAAGCCTCCCTCCCTCAAATTCTGAGGACTCAGCTGGCTTAAAACTTACAATGGACAACTTTATACTTAAGAACTTTGTCTTAACTCTGCATCAACCTTGCACTACTCCTATCCTGTCTGTCCACAAACTACCGGAAGAGTGCAGAGACTGGATCATACCTTGCTGTGCAGTGTTCTCCCCAAGAGCTAGTGCTCTTCAGCTGTTGATTTCTGTAGCACTTTTTTCAGTAAACCAGCACACCCCGACCAACAACCTCTCTGCTTTTACCTGGAATGGTAAACAATACACCTAGAAAGTTCTTTCCCAAGTGTGCACTTGTTACGGTTTGCATCAAGATGGTCCCTCACAAAGTCTCATGCACCTGTATGTGGAGCTTTGGGAGGTGACTGGCTCATGAGTGTGAGTTAGGAGGCCAGTAAGGTTATGGCTGAGTGTGATGTTGGAGGGGAAACCTGGTGGGAAGAGATGGGTCACCGTGGGTGTGGCCTGGAAGATACATCTCCCTTCTCCTCCCTTGGTCTGTGTTTCTGCTTCTCACCACCCTGCCATAAGCAAATCACCTCTGCCATGTCCCCTTGCTTTGGAGCCAGCCAGCTGTATACTGAAACCTCTACAAACTGTGAGCCAAATAGACCTTTCCTCCTCTAAATGGTGGGTGTCAGGTATTGCATCTCACCAATGAGGAAACTAAGGCAAAACTGAAAGCCCTACCCTTTAGTCTCACATTCTTTGGATTTTAGCTGACAGCTCCTTCCAATATGGTTCACCTTCTTTGATATGTAGATGACTTGTTTTTATGTCCCCCAGCCCCAGACTTGGCAGGATCTACTTGCTCTACGGTCTGTCCTCTACTGAGCATAATAAAGTGTCAAAAGAAACACTTCTGTCAGACTTACATCAAATTCCTGAGTCATCTCTGAATACCAGAGGTTTGATTTGGACCCTTCCTCACTTCAAAGCATTTGAGATTTTCCTCTTCCTCACAATAAAAGACAGCTCTAAGTGTTTTTATGACTTGGAGGTTACTGCTGGAGCTGTCTACCAAATTTTTCTTTTATGTCCCAGCCCTTTGACAAATTACTAAAAAATTCCTCTCCTTGAGCCAGGGGTTTAGCTCAGTGGCACAAGTGCCTGCCTGGCAAGCGCGAGGTCAAAAGTTTGATCCTCAGTACCATAAAACAAAACACAAACAAACAAACAAACATTCCCTCCTGATGCTATTCCACAGAAAACAATTCTTTGAGGATAAAACAACCAAATGACCTCAGCCTCCACTTTGGGACACCCCAATTACAAGCTCCCTTTCTATTTATTCGCGAATGGGAAGGAACTGATTCAGGTGTCCTACTGTAACCCCATGGAGGACAGAATGGGCCAGCAGGGGACCAGAACCAGCAATCAGCCCCAGTGTTCCAAGGATCACCTCCGTCTTCTTCTGAAGACAGTTACTACCTCCTCTGTTCTCGCTAAAGCTACTGAAAAGATTGCTGTGAGTTCCTTTTCCCACCATCTGCGTCCCTAACTCCACAATGCCCAATACTCTCTGCTAGTTGCCTGATGATGAGATCCCCTTCTCTCCTTATTTTAACTCACGGGCACCTGTTGTATTCTGCTCAACTCTGCTACTCTGCTTCCTTTCTCAGATGATGACTTCCCATGTGACTGTAGAACCTTGACTGGTCTATTTCTCACCTCCTAATGTGGTCTATAAGAAACCCCATTGTCTAACACAGACTAAAATTGTTTTGCAGATTGTGTTAGTCAGATTTTCATTGCTGTGACAAAAATACCTCAGATAAGCAATTTAAAAGAAAGGAAGGTTTATTTTGACTCACAGTTTCAGTAGTTTTAGCCCATAATCATTTGGTCCTGTTGCTCTGGGCTTGTGGTAGCACAGGACATTGTGATGGGAGTGCATGGTGGGGAAGGGCTGTTCATTTCATGGCAGCCAGAAAGCAAAGAGAAGAAGAAGAGGTCAGGTTCTCAGAATTCCCTTCAAAGGCAGGCTTCCAGTGACCTAACTTCTTCCCACTGCATCTGACTGCCTAAAGGTTCCCCTATTCCCAGTAATAACACAAGCCAGGGACCAAGCCTTCGGCAGACATTGAATATCTAAACCATAATATTGTTCAACTCAGCCACTCTGCTTCCTCTTCCAGATGATGATCTTCCTTACAGCTGAACTGCTTTCCCTCATCAATTCTTCACCCCCTTGGCTAGACCTACTAGAACGCTCCTTGTCTGCCAGGCTACAACTGCTTCACACGAGAATCTTGTCTTAGACAATCTGGCAGTCAGGAGCAAGCTGGAGGTGCTGCAGTCTCTCTCCATGACATGATGGGGTCTGGGTCCCCTCCTGATGCCAGCTGTGTACTTCATGCCTTCATGAGAGTCAGCCTTCATGCAGCCTGTGTGTCTTTGGGGGAATTTGGTGTGCTCCGAAAGCAGAGAACATTTTTAACTTCCTTGGAACAATAATTAAAAATGAAAAAAACTATGTCCTTTTCTTTGGATATTCTTCAGCTCCACAGGCTGTAGTTCTCTCTCTCTCTCTCTCTCTGTCTGATATCAGAAGTCCAAATCAAACTCAGGACCTTGTGCTTGCTAGGCAGGTGCCGTGCCACTGAGCTATATCCCCAGCCCTGTAGTTATCTTTAAAATGCTAATAAAGCCCCAAACTACTTCCATGGCTCAAAGGAGACTTCGGAGAAACAAGACCATTCGTTTTATAAAAGAATGTATTTGGGTGGGCCCAAATTGGTATTGGTCCTCTCAACAAGTCTGCAAAAGGAAAGATTATCCTTTGGGGGGAGGAAGAGGGCATTTTTGGCTTTTATTAGACTAACTCACTGGAAGACTGACAAGATAGCCCAACAGGGAGAGCAATATTATTGGAGACACTTACTCACCGCTGTTCATCCAGTGTACTGACTCTCAAAAATATGCACCCAGTGTGACTCTAGGAATTGCCCTGATGCCTCGCAAGGATATTAATACATTTTGGTCAACATTGGGTTGGAGTTCTCCTCTTGCTGCAGGCAAGGTCATAACAGAAAAAATGATAGCAAGCCGAGGAGTTTCCCCAAGAACTTCATAGTGATAGAGGGACTTATTTTGTAGGGCAAATTGTTCAAAGCATTTGTTAAACCTGGCCAACGTGTATTGGTATTTCCACTGTCTGTCATCCCAGTTCTCTAAGCTATTAGAACAAACCCCGGATTCCATGAAAATTCAGCTGGCAAAAATGTGCACACCATTTAGTTCTCATAGGCCCACGCCCTTCCCTTAGTTGCTCTCAATCTTTGTTTCACTTCCGCGGGAAAATGTAAGTCACACTCTTTTGAGATCCTTACTGACCTGATGTGCCAGGAGAGAGGACTTCCCCAGTGTGTGCTCGTGAAGGAAGCCTGCTTTAATTTGGACTGGTAATGCCCTGCAAAGACCTGTGTGCTACAGGTGTGCTGCGGCACTATTGAGAGATGACAGAATCATCAGGCGATGGGACCTGACAGAAGGAAGTTAGGTCCCTGTGGCCTGCCCTTGGGAGGACACTGGACCTGGCCCTTGGCCTTTTTCTTCTCGGTTTCTGCCTCCCATGAGGTGAGCGCCATTGTTCTACCATGTGCTCTTAGCATGATGCTTTGCCTTGTCCAGATCCAAAAGCAATGAAGTCAACCGAACACAGACTGAAACCTCTGAAACTGTGAGCCCAAATAAACCTTTCCTCTTTTTAAATTGATTAATATCAGGCATTTGTTACAGCAATGGAAAGCTGACTAATACAGACAGTACAAGCAGCTCATCAACATCCTATAACATAACACTAGCTTTGCGAAAGGCCCCTTCAGCAGCAGGGAGATAAAGGTCATCCCCATAAAGCTCTGAGGTTGTTGGACAAGATACTAGCTCAAAGACTTTTAGTGGACTGCAGGGACCTCAGTGGGCATCCTTAACTATCCCATGTTAAGTTAAACCAAAGGGCACAGACTTGTAGATTCATATTTCTCTTTATAAAAAAAAAAAGAAGCAGCAGCTCTTGACTTACCTGCTCAAGTGGACTTCTTACTCTGTCTCTGATTCTTGATCAAGTTCATCAGAATCAGACAACCAGGACCAGAAAGAGATGACTACAGAGATGCACAGTACACCCAAGTACCTGGACCAGGCCAATGAAATGACCCCCACTTCTTGTGCTCCCCTTTTTAGACTTCTCTGATCCTAACCACACAAGCCTCAATTCATGGAGGATCAACATTGTCATTCTATTAGCAGCCCTGCCAATTGCTGGCTCTGCCATGCCTTGTTTTAAATTCTTTCTCCAGGGATGGTGATGCAATCCTTATACCAACCACTAATTTCTCCTCACTGTCTTCCTTTTATATACCTCAGATTTTATCTACTGACTTTGTCTATATCCTCCTCACACCAAATGTGCCCTGTTTTTCTTTTCTTTTCTTTTTTTCTTCTGTCTTTTTTTCGGTGCTGGGGATCAAACTCATGACTGCCTGCTTGCAAGGCAGGTGCTTATGCCACTGAGCTAAATCCCCAGCCCCCTCCTGTTTTTATTTTCTTACCCCATCTAAAGAATCACCCTGTAGTCCAGGGCTTTAGCACAGTAGTGTAAGTGCTTCCCTGGCAAGTGCGAGGTAGTGAGTTTGATCCTCAGCACAGACTCAAAAAAATCATGCTGTAATGCTTTTATCCCTAAATGCAACAACCCCATGGCCACAATGTAAAAAAAAAAAAAAATCATAAGACTGAGTAACAGTCAAAGCACTAACATTTGCCTGCTCAACATTATACACCTACTATCTGGGTGTGGTGGTACATGCATGTAATCCCAGCCTTCAGGAGGCTGAAGCAGAAGGATCACCACAAGGTTGAGGCCAGCCTGAGCTAATAATGAGTTCAAGACCAACCTGGACTATACAGTGACACTTTGTCTCAAAAAAGCAAGCAAACAAACAAACAAATAAAACACTACCTATGCCTTAGTCCAGATTCACTGAACCCTTATAAAAGACTTGGTCTAATAAGAAAGATCCATTATGCCAAATCCTCTTGGGTACAACTAGGTGAGATTCTTCTACTCTTTAACGCTGATATTCCTTTAACTTAGCCTGTCTAATTTTACCCTACCCCTTTGTGTTATCCTAATAGGATTCTTTGGTTTCACAATCTCACCAAGCTTCTGTCCAAAAGGAAGGCTGTACCAAGCAGTGCCCTCCTGTGAGCCAGTGGCAGTCGTGAGCTGGGAGGAGAACCAAGAAGCCAACTCATGCCTTCCTGTGAGCCAGCCGGTGCACAGCTGGGAGACAAGAAGCAACCAGCTGATTCAGGGGAACTCAGCCCAAGATGATAGCAACTGAAGTAAAAAACACTTAATGTGTATATTGTTTGTTTGACTTTGCAGGTCTTAAGTATCTACTTAGAGGACAATAATATGCATCTAGAAACTATGGGGGATTTCCTTCTGTTTTGTTTCGGAATCCAATATTGTTCTCACTGTTCTGTTTTATTTTTACTGGTTTGTTTTATTCCCTTTAAAATAAAAAAGTGGCAAAAAAAAGCAAGGCTGTAAACTTCCAGAATATGTCCCTATTAGTATGTCCTCCTCTGCTTCGGTGTTTGTCTGTGGCTACAAGTGAGGGTGAGGGCTGTTAGGCACCTGACTGCCTAACTTCCTGGAAAGTGGGTGGACACTGCTGACTGAGGCTTTGACTTATCTCCTGTCATTCTGCAGTTAATAACCCAAATGTACCCCATTACAATCCTCACCCTTGTCAAGGGAGGGTTTCATGCATAAATTATTGCCCTCAGGACAGTTCCTCAGATTCTGAGAATGATAGCCATATACATCCCCAAGGATGTGTTTTAGCTAGAGGGGTCAGTTCTGGTGGAACAGCTAACTTTGGTGATGTTTCATTTTGTTGAGACTGAGGTCTTGCTATGCACTCCAGGCTGGTCTTAGACTCACTATGTAGCTCAGGCTGGCTTCAAAATTGTGGTGATCTCCCTGCCTCAGCCTCTTGAGTGCTGAGATTACAGGTGTGGCCCAACACACCAGACTCAGGATGGGCTAGATTTGGAAAAGTGTTGGAATCCTGGATGGGAAGTGGCATAGTCTAGAGTGAGCTCATGACTGGAAACCTTTCCTGCACTGTTCAGAGACTCATTCATTCCACCACTCAGGCCCCTGGAGCCCCAGTGGGTCTGGGGTCCCATAACTGTGTGGGCCTGGCTAACTGCAGCACATCTGAACAGGGTGATGGCTGTGCTGTCGCAGCACCTTGTGTACCTGGATAAACACTACTATGATCCCAGTTGAATTGGAAACTCCAGAATCTTAAAGTTTACTAAGTCTCCATGGAAAGCACTTTCAAAAGGTCCTCTCAGCTTGGTCCAGTCCCCAATTCTCAGATACTTCCAGTTGGCTGTCCTTGGCATTAGTTTTGTCCTGTGTTCTGTGTTATGCCCTAAAGTTCCTCACAATCCTTCTCATCCTAGGATGAAACATTTGGGCCCTCTGGATCATTCTAGTCTATTTTAGCAAGAGACTTCTACCTGAATCACATTAATACCTCGAAAGACTCTGGACTCCCTTGAGACAGAAACTGGAACCAACTTAACTCAGAAGAAGATTAGATTCAGCTCTAACAGGTATGTGGGTGCCTCTCATTAGTCCCCAGGTGCAGCAGGTCCTGCCCTGCAGCAGACACCAGCTGCTCTGGTTCTGTGATGGGCATCCCTGCCTTTGAGGGTCACCCCTGCTGTCCGCTAGGGTTGTAGATTGTATCTAGATGTCCCCTCAAAGCCTCATTCAGTTATAGGCTGGGCTTTTTCAGAGTGGCTGGGGTGAGGCATGGGGAGGCACCAGTAGAGTTGGGAGCCCTATATACCCCAGGCCTCCAGGGGGAAGAGGACCAGAGCCACAGAGTCCAGCGGGAGCAGGCATCATGTGGAGGGCATAGCGGGAGACTCTGACCGCAGAGGCAAGCAGAGCTCAGACAGGCGGGGAGAGAGGACTGAACAGTATTCCAATTGGCATCCACTTGTTGATCCTGTCTGTGCCCCAAATCAGAAGCCACAGAGCAAGGCAGCCCACTGGACCAAGTGCTAGGAATGAGCCTCAGGGCATAAGGAAGGGCCCAAGTGCACAGAGTAGAGCAGATCTTGGAAGGGCAGTGGGCAAACTAAGTGGCAGTTTTGGGCATCCACTGCATTCCAGCTGAATGCCAACAGCGCCCCTGCCCACAACCCCGCGCAATGCTTCTGAGGCTAAGCTATTTAGATCATCTGTACAGTGCCACATATCTGTCTGACTTGGAGTTGATCTCAGTTTTGGAGTTATTTGGACTGACACTAGGAAATGACAGGTTATGCTTTATATACCCATAAAGGCGGCAGCGTACATTTTAAAACTCTGACATTATGTTGTTTTGTTTGTTTGGAGACAGGGGCTGACCAAGGAGCCCAAGCTGGTCTCAGCCTTTCCACTGCTGGGACCACAGGCGTGGGTGACCAGCCCAGCTTCTCCAACCCATTTTATTCAGTTCTCAGGATGTACTGGCAACACCTACATGGAGTGCAACAGAAGGCTCATAAGTGGAAGTTAAATGTGGCCTAAGGCCCCTGCCACTGTGGAGCTGGAGGAATCATTCGACAGTTCTAGAAAAGTACAATTAAGGTGCTGGCTCTACGTTGCACGTATATGTAAAAATCCTGCAAAGTCAATGTGTATTTGGGCTTTGTGCTACCAAATTTTACTTGAAAACAGAAGAGAGGTTGTTACCAACCTGCTCCCAGGACATCCCTAGGGGTTTACATGCTGGTGGCCCGCGAGGGGATCGCACCCTCCTTCCTGCCCACTCCCACTGCCGCTGCTTTCTTTAGGTGCGTTTCTTGCATTCCAGTGCTTGTCTGGAGGAACTCAGAAAGAGTGGCTCCCCTCCCTGCATGAATCTGTAAAGGCCTACCTCCCCCTACTTTCTACCAAAATGTCCTTTTGCTAAAAACTGAAAAAAATCTCCAACTTTATCATTTTCTGACCACCTGCCATTTGCTAGGTTTGCTTCTGGCACTATTTTAGCTGCGGCTTCTCAGATTATCTCCCATCTATTCCCCCTTGTGATCTTTTTTTAAGCTAAATCAAGGACACACTAAAAAAAGGAAGCTATCCCTTGATGAGAACATGCTAGAATACGTCCTTTCATCCATTCTGAGAGCAGTAGCACTCATGGATTTTATTTTGTTTTTTTGAGGCAGGGCCTCCCTATGTAGTGCAGGCTGGCTTTGAACTCACTGTATGGCCCAGGCTGGCCTCAAACTCAGTGTTCTTTCTGCCTCAGCTTCTTAAATGTTGGGATTACAGATGTGTGCCATCACACCTGGGTAATATATTTAAATAATGAATTATCATTACTGCTTAGTCCCTATATCTGAGGTAAACATAAAATTAAAGGAAGTATATTTTCAATTTAAAGAATATAAGTAGAACAAATTATTAATTAAAATATGTATGAATTATTAATTGACTAATTTCATAGTTAAAAGTTGAAGGCCAATTACTAACTTTCTTTCATTAGGCAGCTCAGGTTATATAATTTTGGAAAAAACCTCCAGTTGGCAATTTACAAAGCTGATCATCTGAATTTATATTGTAGGAATCAAGCTTCATAAAAAAATAGAAATAATCTTTAAAGAGATGGTGTCCTGTAAACTTGATTACTATTGTAGTCATAATCATAATTTCCTTTGAGATTTATGGAAATCAAGTACACAATAAATATGATCAAATCTTGAAATTATTTGGCAAAATAACTTACATGGTGTCTGTGTAACCCATGGCTACAGGAAGCAGGTGACAGTACAAAGTGGCGAACAGAGACACATGCCTTTAGTGTTTTTCTTAAAATACATTTTTCTTGACCTTAGTTAGTAGACAGATGCACAGAAGTGTAATTTTGTTGCTTAAGACAGAGGGTCAGGGATGTGTGTATGGTGTGATCCCACCACTCAGGAGGCTGAGGCAGGAGAATCAATGTGATTTTGAGACTGGCTTGGGCTACAAGCAAGTTCAACACTAGCTTAACCTTGTCTCAAGACAAGACAAAACAAAACACAAAGACAAAAACTAAATTTTTAAAAAGTTTGCCTGATAGGTGAACTATATCAATGTTTCTTCTACTTTTATAAAACAGATGAAGTTTAAATGTTTTAAAATAACAGTAGCAGAAGTTTCAAATTAAACACCTTATTTCCCCCCTCCCCCCCCCCCGTGATGTTTTTGAGACACCATCTTGCTATGTAGTTTAGGCAGCCTTGAACTAAAGGTGATCTTCCTGCTTCAGCCTCCCCACGCTGAGATTACAGGTGTGCCCCACTATGCCTGGCAAATATCCTTTTTGAAATATATTCTTATGGTTCAAATATCCAGAAGTTTAAATATTCATAGTGAAAAGTCTGTCTGCCTTCTTTACTGAGTTTTCACACCGAGTATGTTCTCTTTTTAACACAGACGTAAATTAACGCCTTGTTCTGCACCATTTTGTATCTGGAAAATCTTTTAAAAAATTTTCCCTTTGGTGGAACTGGGAATTGAATCCAGTGCCTTCCCATTGAGCTACTTCCCCAGTCCTCCTCCATTTTTATTTTTCATTCTGTGACAGGGTCTCCTTAGGTTGATAAATTGCTCAGGCTATTCTTGAATTTTCCAGATCCCTATTTCAGCCTCCCAGAGGGGTAAGATTATAGGTGCACACCACCCTTCTCAGTCTAGGAAATCTTAATTTTTTTTGAGGAAGGGTCTCACTAAGTGTTCCAGACTGGCCTTAAAGTCACTTATGTAGACCAGGTTGGACTCGAACTCATAGTAATCCTCCTGCCTCAGCATCCTAAGTGCTGGGATGACAGACATGCACCACCATGCCTGATCAGAAATCTTAATATTGAATCATAAAAAATCTTTCTTTTTGGTTTAGCAGCTGTATAATGTTCAAATGCATAGACACATCATAATTAGTATCTTGATAGATATTTATATTATTCCCAGTCTTTTGCAAGTCTTTTTTTTTTCCTGTACTATTGATTAAACCCAGGGGCTTCCAAATGAGCTACAAAAGTTCTTCAGGCTCCAATTTGCAGTCATCCTGCCTCAGCTTCTTAGAGTGCTGGGATTAGAGGCCTGTGCCATCAAAACTGGTTATTCTTGACAACCTTGTATATGTTAGTATAACAAAATGCCTGAGATAATTAACATATAAAACATTTATTTTGACTCACAGTTTTTGCGGGGCAGGGGTGGGGTTGTGTTCCAGACCATGACCAGCTCAAGGCCAGCCTGACCTACATAGCAAGTCCAAGTCTCAGAAAAGTCAAGAACACAAACAAAATACTTTATCATTTCTTTTAATTAGAAACACATCTCTGGAATAAATCCCTAGAAGTAAAACTGGAGGTTTGGAGTATTATGCATTTGTAATTTTGATAGATATTGCCAAATTCGTGATCCCTTATAGCCTAACTAAAGCAGGGATGCCAGACAGAAATTAATGTGCTTTCATTTAGAAATATACAATGAAAAGTAGGTTACCTATTAAAGAATTAGGAGGAAAGTAGGACAATTTTATTCAGAAACTTACAAAGTTCATTTTCACTCAAAAATACATTCAGCAGAAATTTCTCCCGAATCTAATCTATGCCAAGAGCTTTTAGGAACTAGGACTACCACACAAACAAATCGACTCTCAACTCTGCCGCGGGTGGAGTTTACATCTGAGTTCACTTTTTGGAACTCTCTGCTACTTTATGAGAAGCCAGTTAAATGTCAAAATCCCGAAAACGATCTGTTGAGATCCTGAGCACAGGCTCCAGACATATGCTACCCATGCTATTTCAAAACCAAAGGAGGCAATGTTGCCGCTGACTTCTCCTTCTCCATGAGGTTCTTTTAAAACATACACTAGAGAGAGAGCTCTTTTTATCTGACTCCATCTGCTGTTGGTGATCATCAGCATACTGTGGGCATTGTGGTATCATCTGAGATTGGGTTGTGAAATAGGAAGTGGTGCTCCAAGCAGATTTGCAAGTGTATGCAAACTGTCCTCTGTCTCTGGCTGAAACTCAGAGTGCCCGGCAGGTTTAGGGAAGATGAAAGATAAGGCTATCAGCACATCGGGGCATGGTTTCCTTTTTGCAGTCTGTTCTCCTTTTGGAACAAAACATCACAAGGGAAGTCTACGGCATATAGTTTCAGACACATACAGCAGTAATACTTCGTGTACCGAACAAAGGGACAGGAAACGGAGCAAGTTAGAAGCCAGACAGAGAAGACAGAGAAGGTAAATGCCATTGGGAAGGGAGAAGCAAGTGGAAAGATAGTTTCACAGTTGTGCAAAATTCCTTTTAAAGGGACACTCCTTGATTTTGAGGCGACCCTCCTGCCTCAGCCTCCCTCAGCAATCCAAGTGCTGGGATCACAGGCATGCACCACTGCGCCTATTTTGACACAAAAGCAACCCTAAATTGCCCAGGCTGGCTTACAATTTGTGATACTTCTGCATAGGGCTCTGGTTAGTCGATTATAGGTGTGTACCACCATGCCTAACATTTAAGCGTTTTTCTAAGACAGTATTTTAAAATGTTACCCTCATTACATTTAATTTAAGAAAATTGTAAGCTACGGTTGTTAAAGTCTCGACAACAGCCCAGTGGAGTTTTGCATTCTTTAAAGCACAACTGGGAGTTCAGAGTGTGATACGGAAATCTGACACTGATGTGTCTTCACGTATGAAGACAGCACACAGTGAACTCCAGTGTGGCTGGAGAACGATGCGCCGCTTTCCTTATTTTCTTTCTGATCTGTATCATTAAATTCATCCTGGTACCATCCGAGGCAGACTCTACAAGTGGTTAATGAATGAGATGCTGCTCGGCTACTTTCCTCAGACACTGCAGAAAGAAGTCTCCCTCAATAGGCTCTCTGGCAGCGGAGGCACGCGGGTGAAGCAGCAGCTCGGGTGTCCTCCGTCCGCATGCGTGCAGTTCTGGCCACGCGCTCCTACCCTACCCTCGACGTCCGCCCGGCTCTCTGGCCTGCACTGCCACCGGGGCCCGACGCTGTGGCCCCGGCGGCTGAAGCCCGAGCTGGCCTTGAGGAGCACAGGCCCAGGGGGCCCCGCCCTCCGGCCAGAGACCCCGGCGAGGGTGGCTCCGCGCGCCCCGGCGGTGGGCCTGAGGTCGCCGGGGTCCCTGCTGCCCTCCGAGTCTCCCGCGGCACTTCCGGCCCGCTGGGAAGGCCGGGCGGGGGCTCCTGCGCTCTTCCCGCCATCCGCACTTCGCGCGCTTCCCGCTCAGACTCGCCTCGCCAGCATTTTCCCCACACTTCCCACTCTGTGTTTACAAAGTGTGGACGCCCACTCGGCAGCCGCTTCCCCGCCGCCCCGCCCCCCGAACGCTCCCCCGCCCCCGCCCCCGCTCCGGTCCCCGCCCCCCTCCCCTTCCAGAGCCCGTCCTAGGAGCTGCGGCCGACCCGCTCCACTCCGCCCGCTCGCCCGACCACGTGACCCGCCCCACCCGTCACGTGACCCCACCCGCCGCCCCGCCCCCGCGCCGGCGCGCTCCGACGTGCCCTGGAACTTGCCCTCCCTCAGAGACCAGCCTGCGGGGACGCGCGCCCGCGGCGGCCGCCCGGGGAGCGCAGTGCTCGCGCGCCGGGGTCTTCGGCCGCCGCGCTCGCCGAGGCAAGAGCTGCCCGCCGCGAAGCTTCGGTAAGGTGGCCGGGTACGGGTCCCCGCGGACGGAGGGCAGGTCTGCGAGGCGCCGCACAAAGGCGCGCGGGGCGCGGGCTATGCCCGCCGAGGACGGCGGAGTCGGGGGCGGGCCGGGGTCCCAGCCGCGGGCTGAGGTGGCCGACAGGGTTCGAGCGGTATGGAGCTGTACTCCCTCGTCCCCCGGGCGTCCCGACTTCCTGTGCCGAGGGCAGTGCCCGCCGCCCCGCCCCCGGCTGGGTGAGTGTGAGTGAGTGTGAGTGTGTGAGTGCGAGAGTGTGAAAGGCGGGGGGCCTCCCGTCGCGCGCAGAGCTGCTCCTTGACTGTCCCAGGGTGGGCGCCTGGCTGACCCCAGGAATCTACCAGGGGTCCCCTTGGGGACTCCTGACCTCCACCAGGGCACTTGCTCCCTGCAGTCGCCTGGGCTGCCCCGCCCCTGGCGGTGGATGTTTGCCCCCTCTGGCGGCCTCTTCCCTGTCCTGGGTGAAAAAGCCCTTCTCCAGGCAGCCGCCCCTCGCCCAGCCTCCGGTGGATACTCCCCTGCCTGGTGCCGCTGACCTTTACTTGTGGTGTCTTCAGTTGCCGCAGACCCGCTGGGAAGCAATGGCCACAAGGTCGTCATCGAGAGACTGGCACGGCCTTGGGTTTAGGGGCGTGCGATGTTTTGTTGGTGCCTGCGGCGGCAGCTTACAATGCATTGGCAGAGGCTCCAGCTCCATGGTTAAGGTACACCTTTATGGAAAGTTCTCAGGTCATTTCAAGTGAAGTAGCGTTACGGGTCAAGGCTTCCAAGACTGATGCACAGTCCCTTGTGACTTGCTTCGTTGATGGGTTTTTTTATTGACCATTCATGCTCACAGTCCTGAAAGGGAGGGAACATGGATGAGGAGTCATTTGGGTTTTGGTTCAGATTTTGTTACCCAGTTTCTAGAGGTAAGGCCTTGGGTGACTTCGGATATTATATTCAGAAAATTTCAGAAAGTATGTAGTCCCTGACAATGCCTCTTTCACAGTTGCCCAGAGATGGTTTTATTTGTCCGTAGCTGGTTTTCCTTATCTAATGTATAGGAAGTGTATCATAGAGCGGGCTATGTTTCCGATCCTCATTCCTCATCCGATCTGAATAGACTGTCTGGGTAGTCGTGCAGTATTTTTCTCTTTGTTTTAAAGTTGTTTTGGGAAAGACTCAGAGCAAGGTTTCTGGATCCCAGAGCAGTGCCTGAGAGCACGCAGTGTGACCAGGGGCCAAAGCCCTTGAGGAGCGGGGCAGGCTGGGCACGGATGTCCAGTTCTCTGGAGGTGTTTCCCTGTTGGGGACAAGTGAAGCGGGCTAAAATCGGTGCTCTTGTGTGTATGTATGTATATTTTTGCCCGAGTGTTTATTAATAGACATCTGTTTTTTTAGTTTATGAACCACAAAGCTGGAGAAGATTGCTTATTGATTCTTGTTATAGTGCCATCTGTATATGTTAGTTGTGCTTATGTAATCATTAGTACTTTATTAGTATTTGTAAGCTTTTTTTCCTTTACTTAAAACATTACTTGTGAGGCAGCACTGTATTGAAAACACCATATTATTTGTAGTTAATCATTTGGCTTTTCCTTAATTAGAACGTGTCTGCACAGTGGTTTTAAAAATACCCCAATGAAAAGTGAACTTTACAGATTTATGTTAAGTTATGCACGTGACATTACTGAGGATAATAAGGGTAATTTAAGATTGACTAAAATAAAACAGTGAATAGTGGTGATCTGTAAAGTCATTAGTAGCACTAATATGTAACTGAGAAAATGAGCATTACAATTTTATAATAAACCGTGGGAGAGAAAAGGGAAGTAAACCTTTATCTTACACTGTTTTTAACAATTTTGGTTATGGCATAAATATCCATTATATTGTAGAATGAATCAAATGTGAGTTGCCATGCTGTCACATAGCATTGTGGTACTTCACTTTATCCTCACTGGAGCCCTTTGGGCCACCATCCCAGTGACCTGACTTTTCTTTGGTTAATTTGTCTGGTTGTGCCAGAACCTCATTGGTGGCTGGCTTTACTGTAATTCAGCCATTTTCCTATTGTTTTCAGGCTTTATAGTTAAACTGAACTGCTAAATGCTGACATTTGTCAACCACTCATCCTGTTGATAATGCAGGGCTTTTCAAATTTTAAGGTATGTAAGAGTCGCCCGCAGGCCTCGAAGTCCAGTGGATGCTGTTCTGCCCAGACTGCAAATCCCCGCTGTGCCATAGAAATATAATGTACTGCCATTAAAATTTCTGGCTTTTACTGGACTTGCTGGGGAAAGTTTGTAATCCTAGCCCTCTGGAGGCTAAGGCAGTTCAAGGTCAGCTTTGGCTACATAGTGAGTTCATGGCTAGCCTGGAATGCATAGTGAGATTCTGTATCAAAAAACCCAATAAAACAACATCCCCCCTCAAAAAATCCAAAACAAACAAAAATAGCTTTTCTAAAGTAGATTTATTTTTTTAAAAAGATCTGCTAGCCAGATGTGGTTCCTATGCCTGTAATTCCAGCACTAGGAAGGCTGAGGCAGGGGGATCGAAATGAATTTGAGGCTGTCTGAGCTACATATGGTTCTGGTAGCATTAAAATAATAGTAGTATTTTGGGGGAGGGAGCTAAAACTTACAAAGCCTTATTAAGTGTTGGAGGTATCCTTACACATTCTCCTGATATGTGGCTGTATACTACTATTGAATTCCATTCTGCAGATGTGTAAAAGTGAGGCTCTCAGAGGTTTAAATGACTTCTTAGGTCACACAGGTAAAAGGCAGAGCCAGGAGGTTTGAGGAGGGACTACTTTTGAAAGTTAATCAGTGTATGTATTTGTTTTGTTTTTGTTTTTAAGACAGTGTGTCTTATCACTATGTAGTGCAGGCTGGCATTCACTTCATTTCTGTAGCCCAGACTCACCTTGAACTCAGCAATTCTGCTCAGCCTCCTGAGTGCTGAGATTACAGATGTGCACCACTATGCCTGGCTTATCAGTGTATTTATGAATATTTTTCTAGTCACATATTTTGCTTTGAGTACACAGTGAATAATATGACCACTCTGTCATGCCTGATAATTTACAAAATTCTTTTTGAGTATTTTTTTTTTTTTTTTTAAGACAGCATCTTGCTGTTTTCCAGGCTGCTCTGAATTCACTGGGTTGCCCAGGCTGACCTCTACTAATGGTGATTCCCCTACCTCAGCCTCCTGAGTATTGGGATTACAGGTGTGCACCACCACACTCTGCTCATAAGGATCTTTTGAGATTTACTTGTTTTGTTTTATTTATTTTTTGAGGTAGGGCCTCACTAGGTAGTCCAAGTTGGCCTTGAACTTGTGGAGGTACTCCTACCTTAGCCTTCGTAGTGCTGAGATTACAGGCATGCACCACCATGCCTGGCTTCCTTCAATTTATTAATAAGGTATATAAGTTGCTGAGAGCTTTTAAGCGGTCAAAACCTAGCTTTAAATTTCAGGCCTCAGTTCTTGAGTTCTGTGCTTCTTTCCTTGTACCACAACAGAATTCAGTGTATGAGTTTAGAGTTTTGTATTTAAAAAGTGGTTAAGCTGGATGTGTTGGTACACACTTGTGATCCCAGCTCTCAGGAGGTTGAGGCAGGAAGATCGCCACGAATTTGAGGCATCTTGCACTAAATGGTGAGATCCTGTCTCAGGGAAAAAAAAAAAAAACCCAGAAACCCCAAAACAGAGCAAGCCCCCCAGCTCAAAAACCCAAAAAAGTTGACTGAAAACTATTTATTTTGCTCTATATGATTGAGTTTACAATATTGTAGTTTACCGGGGTGTTGTATATGAAGTGTGATAAAAGGTTTTAGATCTGTTACAGTAAAAGACACGTTGCCGTTAATCTCCCTCAAAGTAACTTCTTGTTTCAAACACACTTATCCCATTGCTTTTGCCACTTTCTGAAGCAATTCTAGAAGTCAGGTTTTGTATTTCCAGTTGTGCTGTTGTGGTGGCCTCAGTGTCTTGATTTGATCCAAAATTCTACCTTTTATGATCATTTTCACATTGGAAGAGAAATCGCACGGAGCCAGATCCTTTGAACCAGGTGGCTGAGGACAATACAAGCCTGCCTTTGTGTGATGGCACTTGGTAGCAGCAGTCACTGTGTTTTGATCACAGCTTGTAAAGACACTCATGAAAGAGGACTTGTAGAACTGCTTCAGAAAATGGCAAGAACAAGGTACTAAGTCTGTTTTGAGGAGGTTAGTGCATGTGTACTTGTCGTTGTAATTTTTAGAAATTTTAGCATTCAGGTCACACATGCCTGTAACCCCAGCATTCTGGGAGGCTGAGGCAAGACAATTGCAAGTTCAAATGCAGCTTGCCCAGTTTAGTGGTTTAGTAAAATTCTGTCTCAAAATTAAGTAAGTAAGAAAATTTAAACATTCATTGTATTTTTCAGTCACTCTTTGTACATACTCTTAAGATATACCTGCACTAAACAATGAGAAGGGATGAATTGTAGTTGCATGCTACATAAATGACTCTAAAATGCTGATTTTAGGTGAAACAGGGCAGCTGTGTTACTTGTATCTTTGTCACTTTTGCTTCCTTGAGTAAGTGGTGATCCCTCCAGCTTTATAACTTGCTACTTTTTTCACATTTTCTCCTTGCAGTCTCTGAAGAATCTTGAAATTTGTATTGTTTCTCTTTTTATGGAAGGGTGCCCCACACTTTAAGGTATTCATTGGTTGATGGACCTTTGAATTGTTTTAACTTTCTGGCTATTGTGAATGTTCACAGAAGGACTTTTTATGGACTTAAATTTCCCTATGTTTTGGGTAAATACCTAGAAAAAGGATTGAAAGTCATAATGCCATATTAAACTGCCTATATTAAACTGTATTAGTAGCCGCTGAATTGTTTTTCAAGAATGGTGGAACCATTTGCCATTTGCATTCCCACCAGCAATTAATGAGAACTCCTGGGCTGACCTGACATTCTTACCAGGTTAGTTCTTAAGAGGGAGTTGTTACAAAACAGCAAGCCTGGCCTTTCTCTGTCATACTTGTAGCTACCTAGCTTTTTTTAAAAGTCAGGTCTTGCTTTGTAATTCAGGCTAGCTTTGAACTCGCTTTGTAGCCCAGGCTGACCTCAGACTTGTGATTCTCATGCCTCAGCCTGCCTAGTGCTGGAATTATAGATACACACCACCATGTCTGACCCAGCTTCCTCTATTTGTGATGCCATCTGATAGAAGGTCCTTACAGAGCCTAGCCAGTGCCTTTGAACTTCCAGAACTGAGAGCTAAATGAACTATTTTCTTTAAATGAACTCAGTCTGTGGTACTTTGTTACAGTGATGAAAAATAGACAGATAAGATACTATCACTATAATCAAGCTGCTTCCCCCAAATTTCCATGAGTTCCTTTGTAATTTGTTTCCCTCATTCCCTAGCATCTACTGCTTTGTTCCCCAGCATTATAAAGTAGTTTGCATTTTCTAGAATTTTATGAAGAGTGAGTGACTCATATAGCATAGACTCTTTACTGGATTTTTTTCTTTCACTAAACAAAGTTAGTTTGGAACTCAATTGGTGTGCATGTCAGTAGTCCATTTTTAATGCTGGTTAGTACTCCGCCGGGTGGATATAGCACTATTAATTTATTTATTCATTTGTTGATTGCATCTGGGTTATTTCCAGTCACTACAGATAAAGCTGTGTGGAGATATGCTTTTTTCC